TGTTGAAGATATACGGACTCTATACTTATTCGAAGGCTGAATATCGGACACTTAAAGAAGTTTCCTGGACATCAAGGAGAGAACTTAAACGTATAACAGTTGGAAGGTTTCCTAAATTAAAGTTAACAAAGAAGGCGACAAGACACATTGTCAAATTTTTATTTAGTTTTTGGAAACCGGACAACAATATTCCCGCTAATTCCGCTGTTCACGCTTGCTTTTGTTTTTTGCCTGTCAATTAATTATTGGTACAACCCAAAATGTCCTCATGTTGGTTCCCCGGAAAGTTGTCCAAGTATTTCAACCTATAACATTAAGATCAGTGAACCAAGAAACTGTATTTTTCCTCCAAAACACCATAAAGTTATAGTAAACGCTATAAAATTTGTTATAATTTAGTTCCTCGTAAGTTACGGAATTGTACTGACTTTGGTTCAGATACACGTGTCCTCTCTTGAAATCATGAACGTCGCGTTTTTTTTCAAGCATTCTATGATCTGTATTCTGGTCGTTTGTTTTCGTCCATACCATATTTAAAACAAGATCCACAATTTTTTGGTTCACTGAAAAGATCTTATTATTTTTTTCTCATAAATATAGAATAACAGTGAGACCCCAAGATGAAGACATACAGTTATTGATGCATCAAAAGTGTCCTGATGTTGGGATATCCCTAAGTTGAGCCTCATTTTCCCTTAGACTTCAATGCTAATGTATTCAATTGGTGCTCCTTTTTGTCAAAAATTAGAAACAAGTCCTCAAAAATGTAATAAAAATTGTTTCCCACAACTTCAAGATGCAGAAAACAACTGTGCAGAGCAAAAACACATAGAATCTAATCTTTTTGTATGAAAAGGAGATCAAAAAGCAAAAAAAAGGAATAAGTCTTGCTAGAATATGCCCAGATGATAGAAAAAATCTGTGAAAAAGAAGCACAAAATTTTCTTACTTTCGATTATGAATCAGAGTGAAGTTGTCATGAAATATATTTTCAATTTTTGTGAATATAAATACAGTAGCTTGAGTTGTTCAAAGATATCAAAATAACATGAAAATTAAATGTTTGATTTTTTGGGAAAATTTCAGAGAAGTGTCCCTAAATCAAGCCAATGCCAGGATGTTGGGTCTGACTATTATTTTATTTTTTATTTTTTGCTTTCACGTGCCCTTATAAGTTGAATTGTCTGTATGTCGAGGTGTCCGCATGTTGGAGTCTCATTGCATACATAGTAAATAATTCCATCTTCATTTTTTCCGTTTTTGATTTCACATCCATTTGCAGACCCCGATGGGGGCAGCGAGAACGGAGCAGCAGCTGCAGCTGGACGGCGTTGCTGAGTCCGGGGTCGCCGTCGTCGCCGACCCTGTCCGACAGTGACAATGAGACAGTGACGCTGACGTGTCCCTCGTGCAAGGTGAGCGTGGACGTGAGTGGACGGGCCAGGTTCCGGCAGATCTGTCCCTACTGCGGCAACTTCTATAACGCGGCGGCTCAGACGGACCCGTCGCTGAGGACGCGTCGGGGCGCCGGTCACCAAATCGGCTTTCCTGCCATCGTGAGTGGAATCACTGAACTAGTCTATAGATGTCGAGGCACAATATAATTTAGTTTGGAGATCAGATTATAAATTCGGTTGTATAGGATAGGCCTGCTGGCCTGGTCTGGTTGCCTATATATACAGTACTGTATACTGTACTTTGATTACAACGGAAATAATACCAATTTTACTCAAGAACCACGAGCCCTCAAGGAAGAGTGTTAGATACGCACCTGAATTCAATTAATTGAATTCAACCTGGATTGAATCAATTTTCAGTTGTTTCCATTTTAAAACACAGTCCTGTCAACAATGTCCCACTACATTCAAGTGTGACGGCACAATTAAAAATCTGACGGTTTTTAAAAAATGTTTCCTCTCGATTTTGAGAGAGAAGAAAAGTGGTGCGCGTGGTACTCGAGTAACTTTCGGGTAAACATCCATGGGAAGAGTGAATCTCCTTTTTTTTTAAACGATGCTTTACGATCTACACAAAAAAAAAAAAAAAAAAACTTACCTTCCTGATAAGATACCCAGCACACAGCAGCAAGTTTTCCTTGAAAAATCATCAGTCGGAATTGAATGAGTGACTCACATAATTTTGTCAAATATAGCGTGTAATTTTTTTTGCCAAAGGTTTCAGGATGAAACTTTGTCCCATTTTATCTATACAGTACTTGGAATTTTAAACATATGTTATATATCATCGTTGAATGAAATACGCTGACCGTTGGAGATTTGCAAAAATCAGTTCCAGGAAGAAATGCAGTGTGATCTGGGTTTTAGAAGTACAGTACTGAACAGTACACCAGCTTGAAGAGATTTACGAGAACGTGGCTTTTGATTCTGTGGTACGCGTGAAACTGGTTTGCTAGATATGGTACATTCAGGGTGCCATTACGAAGCAGGGTGCCATATTCAGGGCGCCATTATACAGATTGGTACATGAACATGCTTTATACATACAAGCGTTTTCTGTGTGAATTACGAAATTATGGATCCGAACTTGACTTATTGTAATTATTTCCCTGCCTTTCCATTATTTTTCTATGCCTTAAATCTCCAAGTTGGTCAATTATACTATTGGAGTGGTTGCTCTGGTATTAGTTGTATATATTGTAATTGATGTAACATATCGACAGGTCCGTCATTAACGAAGAGAATTACAAAGCAGTATTTTGTCAATACGAGTTGTACACTTGCATAAGATTTGTGATTGCAGTACAAATTTTCAATCCCTCACAAGGATAAAATTTCGAAGGAATGTCGAACAGTAATTCGTGTCAAAGAAACAGATATCGAATGTACATCCAATTACTGTACATGTTTACACATGAACTTTCTATGTTTTGTCTTTCGAGGCGGCTGATTGGAATTTTCACAAAAATAAACAAATTCCTAATTTTATGTTTCTTTTCTGCAAATTTTTTTCATTAGGACAACCAAAGGTTTTCCAGTGTTGTGGTTCAGCGATTTGGAAGAGTGAATGGATCTCCAGGTCTCACTCACATCACTGAAGTTTATATCACTGACGGGCGAAGACATTCAGATGCGTCGCAATCATCAGATTCATTGCCTCCTCTGGTTGCCGTGAGTCTAATATACTTCTTTTTATGACGTTTGAAATTTTCTTGGGAATCATTTGGGTGTATTTTTGTCTGAGCCTCTGTATGTAGTCGTATGTAGTCAATCATTTGCTGCATTACTGATTAATGTCGAATAATAGGCTGAATTATGCAGGCGACGGTGAATGAGCGACATCTAGTTTTTGTAAGTTAACTGTTCTTGGAAATGTCGCTTGTACTTGTTCAAAGAGGCGGTTCAATATATCAGCTGAACACGTTTTTCTGTATTGTACTTGAATCGTTTCCGCTTGGTAAAATCATGAGTTCTCTTCAGTGTTTTTTTTATTTTTGCATTTCCGAAATTGTATTTGCAACTAATTTTAACTGGGATTGATTATTATCGCTTTACGTGCTCAGTAGAAATTGCGGAAACTGGTGATTTGTTTTTCATCATTTTATGAGCCAACGAAGGAAACATTTACGTGTGCAATAAATTCAGCATTGCGAAAAAAGCGCTCCTCTTCCAGTTGATCTAAAGAAGAGAAGCTGTTGATGCATTTTTGTCTACAGCATATTTGCTAAAAATGCGAGAAAACCTTGTGTAAAATGGCGGGGTGAATTTCAATTTCAATTTTCGAACTGAGAATGCGGGACACAGATTTTGAAAGTTGGAGGCAATGTATTCATCTTCCGCACTTTATTCATCTGAATATTTGGCAAACGTTTTCAGAAATGTCACGCGTTTTACAGATCTGTCAAGCGTAGCCTCATGAAAAGATTAATTAGTCAACGCCAGAATCGATGAATAAGAACTTTTTCGAACCATCCCAGTTCCGTACACAAGCCTGAATCTCTAAACATAGCAACACAAATTCGATGTGTCTTTTTTAGCTTCGAAAGTAAAAGATTTATGTTCTGCCCTATCGTGAAATCATGCTGTGTAGCGATACGGTTTCAATAACAAAGTCGTTCACCTTTCCACGCATAAAATGTCAACAATATGCAGAACTGCTGTGCAACTCTCACTGTTTTTTATTGCTCTTTTATTCTGTCCGCCTTGACCAAAAACCTTGACCTGCCATTTTTCTTTCTGGGAAGTGTTTTTTTTTTTTTTGCGGATCCGCGTCGATTCTTGCCGACGCTGTTGGGTTCGAGAGATCGGGTTTGCGGTCGCTGCGCCGAACGAGCATCCCCATAGCAACCCGTGGGTCCCAAAAATCGCAAACCCCGATAAAGCACCTTACTGCCGGCATTTCTTGGAAAGAAAGACATATGGAGAGAGAGAAAAAATAGGAAAATGTCCCTTGGTGTGCAGAGTGATTTTCAGTGTGCAGTGTTTATTTCTTGCGAATTCAAGTTCGAATTAAACCTGATACGAAGAAAAGGTTTAACCCAAGTTTCGGAAATATAACATGATCGATTATTCAGGAGTAAAACTATTTTAAGAAATTAACTACTCTGAAGTCAATCGATGTTCCCAAAAATAGCCACGCGCAAAAATAATTGACTATAGAATGCATGGCTGCATTTTATTGCTGGCTCTTTGGAATGATGACCGTTCATTACGTTGTATCTCACCGGGAATATTTGAAATTTATTCGAAATTGTTTGGCCTCCATAAATGTTGAAAAACCAATTTTAGGAATTATGCCTATATCTATGTCTGCTGTACAGTATACCACGTTTTTCTTCTTCTAATGATCAAAAACGCATGAGGTCAATATTTTAAATAGTTAGGATTAAATCAGTTACCAGCTGGCAGGATTGCGAATGAATGATTCTATGCCGAAGATTTTATTGATTCTGGTTAACTTCCACATCAACAAAAAACTCACACTTTGGAAATTGATGAATCGTGAAAAAATAACGTCCATTAAGCAGGTTGATTCCAACATCGTTTCTCATTATCATTATTATTATTTAGACTGGTACGTTTCTCCTTTGTGGACAAATCATCTACCCAATGATTCACTCAGTTAGGAAATAATCAAACGTAGAGATAATATTATTGTTTTGTTTGTTGGAAATTCTCCAGAGAAGCTCTAAATTTTAAAAAGGAGGTTACGAATCCAAGAAATGAATACACTTCAGTTCGGGAGCTTTTCTTGGTCATGCACGTACACCTGATTATACAGTACTTGTAGAGTCCGATAACAGATGAATAAAGTTTGAATATGCAACGGAATTCTCGTTTATTCAAATATGGAAAGACCCAGATGGACTCGACCGGGTCAACTTATGTCAATTTTCACAAAGATATTGTATAAGACAGCTTACAGTGCATCAAGATACGTACAGTCTCAATTTCAATAATATAAACAGAAAAATTAAGCTCGAGAATGACGAAGACATATGTACAAATTTTAAAATTGCTGATCTCAAAATTTCGGTGAAATTAAAATAATATCATTTAAATAATCAGTGTGGACTACTTCGTTGGTAGACCGAAAGAATTCGAAATGCGACACATGCATTAAAATAAAATTTCGGACCAGATAAAAAATATCGAAGCTCATTCGCCGGCCCATTCGCAAGGTCAACTATTTTTTTTTATCTCATGACCCAAGCTATGAAAAAATATAAAAGCAACCTTTCAATCGATTCGGATCGATTACTCCAACAAATAAACCCAGTTCGCTGGAAAGTTACCTTTCCTGCCATAAAATTAAGTGCAGACGTCGTCGGTAATTCCAGCTTTGGACCACGTCGAGCTGTCTAAAATATGTAAATGTTGGACATGGAAGGAAAAATCATGCAAGAAACCGACAGTAACATAAAGTGAATTACGTGTATATACGGAAAGAAAAGAAAGGAGGCACATGATTATCGAGTTTTGCTCGTATAAAGTACAATCGCATGGTATAAAAGGTGTCCTCAAGACAATCATGACAAGCTGGGAACGCAGAAAATTGTCCATCATCAGGAAAAAAACGTATTCTTTTACGGTATTTTGAAAATCAACACATAATTTTGGAAACTTATAATAAAATTAGGAAATGGTGAAATTATTTCAATACATATCAGGGTATAATTCATGAAAACTAGGGGAGTGACGACTGATTTTTTTTTCAATTCATCCACTTTTCTTATCTTGAACTGATATTTTTCTGCAGTGGAGCATTTTGCAGATCCACACAATTTAGAAAACCTCCGATTAAATTAGGACGCAGTAAAATTAATATTGTTCAGGTACGTTAGGATAATTTATAAACCGAGGAGCAAAATTACCATCTTCCAAAAGGGATGTCCTCTCCTCACGTCCCAAATAATAAACCTCTCAAATCCTTTCCCTTGAGTACCTTTAGTCACCTAAAATTACTTCCAGTGTAATTATCTTTGTCATGAGAATTTGCATCATAATTTTGTGAATAAATTAATAACGTAATTTTGATAGGAACACCTGATACCCAAAGGGCTACACACTTCCGCGCGGATCACCTTCTTGCTGCTGTTCTGGAGGACCTTAAAATTTTTACAACTGAATATTTCAAGGCCTGTTTCAACACATGGATCAAAAAGTGCTGAGAAGTGTGTGCAAATAGGTGGTAGGTTATGAGAAGACATCGAGAAGGTGTCTTCCTATCCTCTTGGAACTATTGTCAAATGAGAAAAAAAAAGAAATTTTAATCCCTGGTATTTGGGCGGCCATTTTCGAGTCCGCGCCAAAACGAGTCCAGGGCGGAAGCGTGTAGTCCCTCGTATATACTCGTATTTATTCTTGTGTTGACTGTTTAACTTCTGTTTAAATTTAAAAACTTGACCAAGAAGTTCATGGTCTGAAACTGCGTTCAAACATGCGCAGGATGCATGTATTGTGTGAGAGATAAGGGGTCAATATACGCGTAGCTGTTTGCCTCTTTTTTGTTTAGCCACCTGCTGGGGTCAAAAGTGGGGGAGAAATTCGGCCTGATGAACGACCCACATGAACACAGCCATATAAGCCTGCTGGTCATGGCTGCATGTGTGTACCCTGCTTGTGTAGGGTATATCGCACCCCTGCCTGTCTGGCCAGCAGCAGGTCAGTACACGTGAGCGACTCGCAAGGTGTTGTCGGATATACTGTAAAATATGCAGTGCTCATTTTCTTGAACCTGGAATATTCATTTTGTGTGTGCCTCAAACAACGATTTTGTAACTCGAATTTAAATAAAAAATATACACAGATACAATTCTCTCTCTCTTTTCTGTCTCTCTCTTTCTCTCTCAGTCTCTGTAACGAAACTCAAGGAGTACAAAATTTTATAGAGAGAATTTCGTTTTTGCGATATGTTATGCAGGTGGACTCTCTCTCTCAGTAGTCTCTCTACAACAAAGTTCTCTCTATATGACGATTTTACTGCGTACAAACTTTATTTTGGTCCCAAAGGGTTTTCTTTCTATGTTATATAGAGGTCCTTTACATTTTTACAACAAAATTCTCTGCATATTTATTTTTTTATGGTTCCTTGCGTGTCGCTGAATGTTGGGCCGGATTCAACAAAGGAAGGTCGTAAATGATAACACAGGTCAATCAGCCTTTATGAGGCTGGATCCTCCTTATTGGAGTCCCAAAAATTCTCAGTTTAATAACAGCACAGACACACAAGTCAGGCAAGTAACAAACACTATAATCCTATCACACAAGCCTTTCAATCCAGAACAATCAGTCACACAAAGAGGATGATTCTAGCCACAAACAGCACACACTAGGAGTTCCTCAGAGAGATCCTTCTTCAAGCAAGTGAAGTCAGCAAGTGTCAATTTTTGGGCAATGCTGGCTTCCTCCAAGACTTCTGCTGGAAATGGCAAGGATTAGCATAAACCAGTTTTCTGCAGTAGCAGGCACTTTTGTGGAAGGTAGCAGGTGCTTCCATCCTGCCCATCTGTGCCTGGTACTGAGTTTTTCTATCCTCTGCAAAGACGCTACAAGGGGCTACCCGCTACAGAGTAGTCCCAGCGCAACCCAACAGCTGAAGTCCACCTTGGATGGGGGTTCTCTAGAACAAAACTCCAGTTATAGAGGGAATATTGTAGTAGAGAACCCCTGTATAGCATGGATAGAGAGAATCCTACGGGACCTAAAAACATAAATTCCTTTTACAGAGAAAATCGTTTTAGACATGATCGTTGTAGGGAGAGTCCACCTGTATGCAGTGAAATCTCGCTACAATGAATCTTTTGGGATCAGGAAAAAAGCTGAGCTATAAAAATTAATTCCTTATCAAGTGATTTGAATAAAATGTTGTTTTCTGGTGGGGACCTGAAAAGTGAATTTGTGATCCAGTAACTATAATAATTCGTGATGACAGTCGTTGAAATGTATTGCAGCAGTGTCTGTGTGAACTTATAAAATTACTGGTTCTTCTAATTTGCGAAGAAACTCCGTAATGAATGAAATTTCTTAAACAAAGCTTTGCAAAGAATGTTTGAGCTTTTTCCTCCAAAGCTTCAATGATTTATGAAGACAATAACAATAAAATGTCAGCATTTTCGACCGAGGTTTCATCTTTTAAACACGAGGTCTACATCATCGACAAAAAATATGTCATTTTCCAGAAATAACCGTGAGCGATCAAATCTGACCTCGATTCAATTGCTCTCAACAACTCCAGTATGCTGTGAGTTTTTTTTTTTTTGTCCCCTGAAAAATATACAGTACATGATTCCATCATTTTCAAAGGGGAAAAATTCGTAGAGAATAGTGTGTTGTGCATTATTCAGTTCAGCTGCGTGCCATGCACGTTGAGAGCTCATATATTTCTTTGTCAGCTGATCGATTGCTTCACGAAACACTGCTGACAATAATCGATTGCTTAATAAAACAGTAAAGCAACTAGGGATTACTGTATATGGTGCACCTCATTCAAGTACTGAGTCAACTCATGACCTCTGAATATCTGTAAATGTCAATGAAGAATCATCAAATTCAAGAATTCGCCCATTTCACGGCTACTTCGAACGTAAATCCTTGTCATGTAGAATAGGATCTCTTAACGTTTTATTTTCTATCAAACTGTGGTACAATTTTAAAAGTTTCCTCTTTTTTCAGTTTACGGGGATTTTATTATTCGGTCATCCAACAGAGACGCTCGGTATAGAACTATAACGCATATAGTCTTATATCTAATTTTTTCATGAATACGTTGGTTTTTAATTTAAAACTGAAATGAGTTCAATTATGTGTCCTGGAACTGCTGGACTCTTATTCATATGTAATGAAATACATATAAGATATTCTTATTTTGACAATCTATGGATTCTAAGGAGAAAAGATAGATGCATTCACGGGCATTTCAATTTTCCAGTCAAGTGTCGGTTGCCCTGAAATGTCAATTTAGGAACAAGAAATTTCTGGTGACATATAGTTATTAAGCAAAAAAATGTTTGGAAAAATCCCATAGGTTTTTGCAGTTGTTTGAACATTGAAACAGACAAAAGCTTGATTTACTTCCTTCCTTTGAGTGGAATACACAGTGTATCCCTGAGACGCAGATGTAATTGGTGTTTGAGACTTGTCCATATATGTTGGAGCATCCATTCGTCAATCACATTTTCCCATAGACTTCAATATGAAAAATTGTATAAATATGGTTGTCCTTTTTTTATCAAAAATTAGAAATGAGTCCCAAAAAATTGAATAATAGGTTTTCCCTCTACTTGATGATACAGAAAATGACTGGGTAAAAGAAAACCACATCAAATCTGATCTTTTGGCATCGAAAGGAGCTCAAAAAGCACAAAAATAAAGCAAAGTCTATAGCAATACTGTACTCTGAACAAAGGATGATGAAACTCTATTGAAAGTAGCACAAAATTAGACTGTTTTGTGCATGAATTAGAATAATTTTGTACAGGCAGTACCATAATTTGTCTGTCCTGCAATTTGATGGTTAATTTGCTAGAGATTGACTCGTGATTTGGCCTTTGTCCCACAGTTTGTCGCATGGAGATGCAAAATGTCAAAAGTGTTGTAAAAAAAAACATTGCATTTGACATTGCCTCATAATTTGACTGCTTCACAATTGGACCTTAATTTAGCAACAGATCCAATTTCAGGGCACCACTTATACCGACATTTCATTTTTATTTTTTGTGAATATAAATAGCTCAATTTCATCAGTACATGGAAATTTATATTGACTTTATAGAGGTTTGAATTTTACAAACAATGTTGGGAAAGAGTCCATTCCTTGAGACATTCGCCGCGGTCCGCAGTGCGCCACATGATGCGCTCTGCGAACCGGCTGCTGGATTCCATCCGACAGCTAGTGGTACCATCTCGCCGTAGTGGTGGCGGCGGTGGTCGTGTGTGCGCTATAGGCGGCGGCAGTGGCGGCCCAGCAGGCGCCGGTTCGCGTTACGCCACTGCTGATGGCGATGGACAACCGGACCCGAGACAGGCCCGGGTTCCACGTTCGCGGACTCTCACGTGTCCAGTGAGCGACGAATTGCAGTTGCGACCCAGGCGGTGTTCTTTTCCGGAAGTGTTCCTTACTATTCCGGAAAACAGCTTGCCTGCGAGTAGAACGGGTTCTGCGGCTTCCCAGGTATATAGAAAAAAAAAACACACACACACAAGGAAAATGAAGAGATTTTTAAGGGAAATTTCCTTTTGGATATATAAAGGGCTACCCCAGGATTTGGATGTACTGTAATTGGTGCTTTTGACCTTGTCCCTATGTTGGATCATCCGCCCATTGGATCATGTTTCCCCATACCCTTCAATGCTCACATATTTAATTGGTCCTCCTGTTTATCAAAAAATCAAAATGAGACCCTGCAAAAATTGGATAAAAATCATTTCCCTCAAATTCAAAACACACTGTATTTTTAATTTTCGTGAAATGTGTTTTCAGTTCTTGAGAAAATAACTGCTTTATAGTTCAAATTGTTCAAGAGATATTGAAATTTTTTAAATGCTTCTTTTGAATTTTCTGGAAAATATTGGCAGTGGCATAATTTTGATCCATCAGTGTCCAAATGTTGAGGTAGATTTTTCCAAGTTTCAAGTGTCCCTCAGTTTAATTGTCTGGGTGTTGAGGTGTCTACGTGTTGGGGTCTCACTGTACTTTAAAGTAAAAATCAGGATAAGCCACTCCCATTTGTTTGTGAGGTTTGTAGCTTGAAGCGGGTTGGTGGTTTATCAGAGAAGCTAAATTTATGATACAAAAAGTAAGTGCAGTATGCCAATTCAGCTATTGTTCTCAGGAAGAAAATTGTGTCATATTCGCCTCTTTTTTTTTGCTCAATTTGAGATGTATCATAGAAACTTGGATCATGTTGGCCAGGTATCAAAAACAAAATTGATTGGCAGGAGCAAACTTTAACTTTCACTGATGTTGGTGTACGGTGTTTTATTCAAGTTTCAGATGCGTTTATCATTAGGGGAGACTTTTACTTCAAAATCAATTTGGGGTTGTCAAGGGTGGGAGCTTCTTGGAGGGGGTGTATTAGCAGGGATTGACTGTACAATATGACAAAACTGTATGACATTTTGGGGGTTTTGTTGGGTACACTTCCAACAAAAAAGATGGGAGAAATATTCAGTGGTTGATTTATATTCTGATCCATTAAAAAGGCTCAACTCCAGCAGGAGCAGACCATGATGGTTTCCTCATTGATTATTTATTTTTCACTTTTTGCTGGATCCAAGAAAATTTGAGATAGTCTATTTGAGACTGATTACACTTTGAGGCAAAGACAATTTCATTGAAATGGAAACATTTTGAGATTGAGACCATTTCAGACAGATACTGAAGCACTTCAAAATATTTTGAGACAGATACTACTTGAGGCAAGAACATTTGTAATAATCTAAATGGTTTTGTGTTCAGAATACACTGTACTGCACATAAGTGGAAAATGACTTATCTTTGGGTTTCTTTCAGTGATGTGAATTCTGTTGAAAGCCTTTTCATTTTTGTTGAAGACCCTCTTTTAGCTGATTTGTTTAACCCTTGGAAGGGGTTCCTGGCTGTCCTGTTGCAAAGTTGGAATTTTTTGGAGGGTAGCAAATTTCAGTTTGACCCAAGGTTACTGAAATGCACCCAGGCTGGGAAAGGCCTAAGTTGGGGAAAAACTGGGAAGGGTGAATTTTTTTTTATTCCAAAATCGCTAATGCTAATCCTAGGCAAGGAATAAATGAAGAAAAGCCAACCAGTTAAGAATTTCTTTTTTTAGGCAAATTTTTCTGCAGGATTATCAGAAAATATTGGAGACTTCTTCCTAAGTTAGGCCTTGGCGCAAAAATCGAATTTTTTTTAATTGTCAGTGCTCATGGGCGCCCAATTTTGAGAAAATATCCTGACTTTGGCCTTTGCCACACAAGGGTTAAGCAAGTCATAAACACTGCACTTCAAAGTGTGGTAACATCATTTTGTGCTTCCAAGCTGATGCCACATCCTTTGCCACACCAAAACAACATATATTTTTGCCTTGGTGCTCTGCAGAACCATTAGTACTGTACCAGCAAGTACAGTAATTTGCAACACATGAGCATAAAAGCAAATCTTCCTTCAACATTTCTCATATGTGAAATGATTCATATGATGAACAAAATTTAAAATAAAAATATTCAAGCCATTCGCAACTATTTTATGCCGAAAGTTGTTCCTGCTGAGGATTTTAGCACAATTCAAGAACTTGTGTGCCCTCTGCGCGAAAATGCAGTCCATCAGCACAGAGTCTCTTATTGTTCTTTTTCTATGCATATGTGGCTATATTGCAAAAACCTCTCTGAATTTCTCTGTGAGTCACTGCTGCCAAACTCCTGCTGAAGGTGGACTACTAGTGGAGAATACAGTATATATGGTACAGAATATTGATCAAGAAGGAATTACAATTTAATTTTGCATATTTAATATTTCTCGTGAACATTTTTTGTTTTGCAATGGCGGACAAGCCAATTACTGCAAAATTATGAAAATGAAATAAAATTAGAGACATGATAGAACAAACCTTTTCCTGGCTGAGTTTTTTATTTATCATATCCTAGACCTGTTCTGCAGACTGATATGAAATGTTTCTTATTTCTAACCTACCTTCCGCAGGTTGAAGAAAAAGACTATATAAAAACTCAACTTCTGCCACAATAAAGAAAGTGATGCATTTTGAACATTTTTGCTTTGTGTCCATATATAGGGCAGCAGTAGTTGCAAACGTGGAAGCTTGGGTAGCCCAAACAATGGCTTCAGTGCTGGAACTGCCTTATCCTTGTCTTCAAACAACCTGTCTCTTGCTGGAGCCCTGGATGGTCAGTCCATCAAGTCTGTGAGAAGTGTGGACATCGGTCTGAACAGGGCCCTCGGTGATGACCTATTGGATGTGGGACCCAATTACCCAGACATTGAACTAACTGTTGCGGATGTACAGTAAGTTGAGCCAAGTCACTGTTCGTGGAATAAATGATTGAATAAATCATCGCGTCATCTACGGTGCATAAATTTGTATTTAATTGCAGAGATATCGTCAAACAAACCAAAGAAAGTGGGAAACCCGACGAAATGCTGCAACTTTATGCGGATATTTTTGGCACGCTTGAATCAATTTGTGCCACGTTCAAGGTATAAGATGATGATATTCATCAATTCCCGGGAAATTATTCACAAAAATTATTTTTTTATAGTTGAATCCGGAACAGGATGGTGCAAGAGCAGAGGACCCTGGGTTGAAATTTGACCTAATTTATGCAGCAATGGACGGTCTTTTAGGAGCAGTGAGTGTTTGAAATTCCTTCAAAATTTACCAGATTCATGCAGCTAATCCAAAATATTGTTTTTCAGAGATCTGTTGTACACAAGAATCTACTGAAGAGCATCATCAACACAATGATGCAAGAAAACAGGAAGTAAATGATTTTTGCCTTTTTTCATTTTTGACAGACTATCGGGAGTTACGCAATCTTCATACGAGTTGCTTTTACAATCAAATATAAATACGTGGAACATTTTAATCTCTCGACTTTTTCAATAATACATAGGAAATAGTTATTTTTCTTTTGGCCGCTTTCTCTTGAAAACGGGTTTTCAATTCTAATGAATATTTTATCTTCAACAAGCTTTTTCTTTTACATTTGAAATTCAAAAGCAAATTTGAGGTTTATTATTTCAAACAAAAACTTTGAAGGTTTGCCATACTTCAAAAGAGGCTATATTTTGAAAATAATTAAAATAAACTTTCTCATTTCGGCTGACTTTCAGAATGCACGAAAAAGATGAATTGCGAGCATTGTTCATCTTGCTGATGACGCCAATTTTTGCGTCTCAATCTTCATACACCGTCTTCGCTCATCTTTTGCGGCAAATTACATCTTTACCCAACGGAGATCACCAGCTATTAGTCGGCTGGTTCAAGCTGTGAGTCAAGTTTCATTGCAGTCTCACTTGGAATGAATTCAACGAAAATTATATATTCTTTCTATTTTAAACAATTTTTTCTAGAGTCAAAAGGTCAATGTTCGAGTCCATGGTGCAACATTTGCTGCAATTCATCACGGTTCGCCAATTTCCTCCGGCTGACATTTCATTGCCTCCTCTGGGCAAATCTCGGTGGTGGATCCCGACTGCTACAAAAGTTTTAGCATTACTTAGTGAGTTTCTGAATGAATACAATTTGCAGTTTGTTCACGTGCTACTACTCATTCAAAATAGTTCGTTGATAGTAAAGATTTTATTGACAAAACAGTCAATATATTGAGCATGAAAAATTTATTCCAAGTTTGTATAACTTGAATGCTTTTGAAATTTGGCCGGAGTACAACATTATGAAAATTATTTTTGAAAACATATTTGTCAGCATTCGATTGCTAAAAATGAGCGAGAATCATTTTAGTTTTTGTTGGTTGCTGAACAACAAGTTTTGCCGTTATTAATTAGCAAGTTTATGTTTTCTGAATAAATATGAATCACAATTTGTTCACGCATAACAAATTAATATTCGTCGAAAAAATTTCGTTGCATTAAAGCTTCTATTGACAAAACAGTCAAACAGTCACTGTGAATTTATTTGAAGTATTGTATAACTTGAATGCCTTGGAATTTTGACGGAGCACAACTTTATAAAAATCATATCTGACGAAAAAACGGTATCATTCGGTTATTAAAAATGAAGAGAACCTTTTTTGTTTCTCTTGGGCTCTGCACAGCATATGCTTCCGTCTAGAGCATTTTTTACACATTTTCTTGATGAAAATTCCAGCATTTTGATCCGTTGATGAATTGATAAAAATAGCATCTGTGCGGAATTTTCTCGCGGTCCCTCTATGAAACAAGGCGCCAAATTGGAGTTAACCTGCGGAGTTACGCCCGTGTACGGTTCTTGGCGTCGAAAGCACTTCGGGTAAAGTTAAATCAGTGATTAGACCAAAACACCCAAAAGAATAGTCTGTGGATCCGTTGATTCAGGGCTTTCTATTTTGACATCTTCCCGGGCCCGACCGGGCGCCCTGATTCAAGTGCTTCAAGTTTTCACATATATGCAAACTCCAAACCCCCCTCCCCAACAACCCAGGCCTTATCTCCCACTTTTGATATTATGAATTTCCTCTGAGAGGAGTTCCCAACTCTAACTGAGGATCCCACAACAAAATATCCTGACATGGCTCTTTTTGGGTCCAAGCACAGGAAATCTGCTGAGAATACTTCCAGGAACATCTTCTGGCTCAGAATCGCATCCATCCTGGAAAGGAGAAAATAAAACTTTTGTAAACACTGAACTTAAAGAGCCATCATTTTTTGGAAAACTGACTGTCTGAAGGGATCACCTCCAGATCCAATGATGGCTGGGTTGATATGAAATGGTCCATTTCCCAATCATTCTTCAGGGCCCTGATCCATGAAGTGGTGATGAGGAAGGCCCGGGGGGATCCCCAGAGCAGTTTTTCCACTGTCCAACCAGTATGGGCAGTTTCCTGCACATGCAAACATCCCCCAAGTCTTACCCATGAACTGGGTCCATTCCAACCCAAAACAAATAGCCGCAGCATGAAGCTGGGCAAAAAACAAATAAGCCTGAGTATGTATATGGTGTGCGGAATTTTCTTGCTGTCCCTCTATGAAACAAGGCGCCAAATTGGAGCCAAAACTGTAATCCAATCGGCGCATCACCGGGATGCGCCAACACAAACGAAAGTTAAACCAATTCCCGCGAAAGGGGTATCCTGAAATAAAACGCAAAACAAATTGGCAAAACAAAGACCCTCGAGGCCAAAAAAGGAGAGCGATCCCCGGAAACGGGATAAAACAAATCGCCAAAAAAGTTGGCGCCACCCTTTTGACAGGGGGACATCGACTCCTCTGAAAACTCGGGGTCATTCGACCCCTCAAGACTTTGCGAAAACACAAACCAGCTGTCAAGAAAGAGACAAAAAATCTCGTCTCCTATATCGTAAAACAATTTGTTTCCCGAATTCGGGACGTCTCGAGCTGTCAAAAACTCAAGTTTAGAAATACTCAACTGGCAACTTTACAATCTTAACAGCTTTTGCAAACTGTCAAGACCCATGTTTTTCAGCAGAAAACTAATTTAACAAACGGTTGAAAGATCGTAAAACATCCACCCGGTTTTTGGGAAAATACACATTTATGAAACCTTTACGAAAAACAGCAGATGCTACCACCTGGTGTTTTCAAATCTGCGCAAACAAGGAAGACCCGCCAAAATTGGTGCAAGAATCATATATAAACCCCAGAAAATTGGGTAACAGACACAGTCAAGTTGAGAAGGTCAAACTGCTGAAGTTGTGTTCTAAAAATTCGGATTTCGGGACTTAGAAAATTCTCCTCAATCAGGGCGATTTCGAAACATCGCGAAATCGAAAGCTTCAGTACTCTGCTTTTACCCTTGGTCCTTCAATCCCCTTTTTTTTGTTAAGATTGGGACTCGTTTTCTTTAATTTATCTCCTCAACGCCGTGTGGGAATACCTTGTCAAAATCGGGACTTGACCCAGTTGCAAAATTCTAATTGTAAAGGAAATCAAGTCCACTTCTGGACTACTTGAAATCCTACGACTCTGAATACTGTTCATTGCTGTAACTCTTGTATATCTGAGTGTGTATACCTTGTATTCTGTGCAAATCTACAGTCAAGTTTAGAAGGTCGAACTGCTGAAGTTGTGTTCTAAAAATTCAGAATTTGGGACTTAGAAAATTCTCTACAATCAGGGCGATTTCAAAACATTGCAAAATCAAAAGTGTCGGTACTCTGCTTTTACCTTTGGTCCCTCAACCCTCTTTTTTGTTAAGAACGGGACTCGTTTTCTTAATTCATCTCCTCAATGCCGTGCGGGAATACCTTGTCAAAATAGGGACCTGACCCAGTTGAGAAATTCTAATTGTGAAGGAAATCAAGACCACTTCTGGACTACTTGAAATCCTATGACTCCGAATACTGTTCATTGTTGCAACTCTTGTATATCTGAATGTGTATGCTTTGTATTCTGTGTAAATCGTGTGTATAATTTAACCTAGTGTGTGTGTGTGCATCAAAGAAAGGTCTGCGCTAGTAGGGAGAAATCCCGGTCGGTTTGCGCCCTGCCAATTGCTGTGTTTTGATTTATTCATCCTCAGTTTGAAAACTCTAAAGTTTGAAAACTCTGCTAAAAAAGCTGCAATCAAGGTGTAAGGCTTGATTAATCTAATTCTTACTTGTAAAACCTTACAGCATCCGTTTTGTGCGTCAGCATAACTTTTTTCCTCTCAGGCAAAATAATTCTTCATTCACACCTCAGAGGATATTTTGTTTCGCACACAGAAAATTTCACTTTGCGGCTAAACTCATTCGGGAATGTACTATTTTATGTTGGATTTACTGTAAATTCTGAAGAATTCTAGAAGTCAGACAAATGAAAAGTCCCATTATTCTGAGGCTGACTTTCGATATTATATTCATTGAACAGATGTGGCCAACAACAAGTCAGTTCCACCGATCGTGAAATACACGTACTTTTACAACAGCACTTTGGACCACTTGGACCTGATGCAGGAATATTACAATTGGCAAGCCCCTGATCGACCCGACAGATTCTCCTTTTGCCAATACCCCTTCATCTTGAGCATCGTTGCTAAACGGTATATCCTTACAAAGGTGAGCCAATTCAGAAACTATATGTCTCATGAATACTGTTAGAGATTGAGAATTTGAATTTGAATAATATACTTTTGAAACCTTGGATTGAAACCTTTAGAAATAAATAAAAACGACAATCACCCAGGTTGCGGCCAGGGTGATTTACACCCTAGTGTAAGGTTGGTATATTCAAAAAGAACACACAATTTTTTTTTTAGATTGCAAGCAAATCAACCAAGTTTGATAGTGTTTTGTGTGAGACTGATCCAGAGCAGCCACTCTGATGATCATATACACAAACTGTTCAGTATTTAAACTCCTTTTCCATGCGAAATTTCATCCCTTAGAGGTTTTATCCTCTTTTAGGGAACTTGCGAGGTCAAACTCAGCCCCATGGAATTCTGGATGGAATGAGACATTCTTGTCAGTGGCGCCCTTCTAATCTGTCTCAAATTCTGTTACCGTTTCCTAATTTCCAGCAAATACTTTGTTAATGATTTGTGATTGTTAATGATTATAATTGTGCAGGACTCGGAGCAACAAATGATTCAAACAGCCAGACGTTCTTTGGTGGCGAAGGTGTCGAGACACCAGGTCCCGGATATCGACATTTTCTTCCTGAATATTCACGTCAGGCGGAACCACTTGGTCGCAGATTCCTTGAAAGAGGTTGAGAAGTTGAAATTTGTGGCTTTAAATTCCCCTTTTTTTAAATTTATTGATGACGCAGATCGGGAGGAAACAGAGGGACCTGAAGAAAAAGCTCAAAGTTTCATTTGAAGGAGAGCCCGGTTTGGACATGGGTGGGCTGACTAAAGAATGGTTTCTTCTACTGGTCAGGCATATTTGTTCTGAGGTGAGATTTGCAAGTAAAATTTAGAATGTTCAATTACAATTGAAATATTACATAAATCGTTGCTTCGGCCTTCTTTTAATCCGCAAAACGTTGAAAAATGGTGATATATGAGCCGCGTACGCTTGAATACTTACAACTTCAGCATGCATCATCATACCTTTCAAGATATTTTT